TTATATGAGGGTGGGACAAGTCCCCCCCACTTTTTCAAATGATTAGTTTAGACCCCCCCACTTTTACTATGCGGAAAGTCCGTGAATCGGTCTATCCACTCGCCGCACTTTGTAGAGCGCTGTGTCAGTGCTTCACTATCAAATGAAATCCATTCCACTTGCTTATTGAGAGAATGCCCAAATCAATGAAACTCCGTACCATGTTTTCACTGCTACTTTGTACCAAGGCAGATTCTCACATAGCGCGCGCATGTTCAAGGAGTGTTGTCATAGTTGGACAGCTCAGATCTGTTGTATGAAGCGATGCCGGTAGCGGAGGTAAGGCACACACACCAAATGTTCAGGAAATGGTTAATACAGCGAAAATCAAAGCTGACGATCTCTTGGTTTGATATGTTTTCTCCCCCAGACAACATGGACATAAGAACATTTTTTTCAAAGAAGAGGAAAATAAGTCATCAGCTGGTAGCAGTTAATCAGTTAACAGTGATGGCGGCGTCTCAATTCTGGAGAGGAGTTTCGTCTTTATGTCATGATAGAGAAATACAAATACTGAATAGTTTAGATGAGAAAAAGGCATCGAAATGCCAGGTTACTAGTATTTATCATGTAAACAGGGAACATGAATAACCCGATCTCTCTGTGCTCATGTAAACACCATATCCCCAATATGATCATAACCAGGATAATACTCATACACGGCTTACTGATGTCCATGTAGAGACGCAGTCAGTGTGTTTTACTGGAGCCTCAGTTCGATAAGAGATTATTTTCTGAGTTCTTTAATTTAGGTACTCTCTCTCAAAATGGTAATGTGCATTATGTTTTAATTATACTTCTTATCATTCAGAAGCTTTTTGTGTGTGTTTATATTTTACTGAGTGCTTATAGGCTATTACCATCCCAGTATTCAGTTAACTATTTATTTTCTGTGCACATTACATAGACTAGCTAATATTCTACCTACTGCTTGGGACTTTGAGTCTTCAAAATGTCCAATGTCACAGACTGCGACTTACTTTAGAGTCAGTTGTATTTACATTCAGTATGACTTGTTATGATTCAATGTGAAAGAGTATACTGCTCAATAAATAATTATCACTTCACCACCTCTCTTGACATCTAGGCACTTGAGAGTGAGTCAGAGGCAGAATACAGGGACAGTGGAGAGAGGTCCATTGCTGAGGTGAGTGATGAAAGGGAAATGACAGTTGAGAGTAAATTGTGATGTGGACTCTCATCCCAGGATTTTAAGGAAATCAGTGGGGATATTGAACAGGAAACATTTCAGTCAAGGGGCATCATATGACCAATATAGACAGAAGAGCAACATTTATTTGAACATTTAAGTCAATGATACCATTCCTAGGTGAACTTAACATCTGTATGGAGTCAGATCAGTCTCAATATTAATAAATGCTCACAGAAGGATTCACAAATGTATTTTGCGATTTATATATAAATGACTCTCCACAACAATATCTCTCAATGCACTCACAAATAATTATTGTTGTATATAAATGTACAAAAAATGGGCATTTAAACTGCTTTTTATTAATTCAAAGACGGCTCTGAATTAATAATCAAATATGTTTCCTTTCTTTACTACTGGATGAAATTACAAAATGTACCCATCATTTTCCTCATGCTAGTATAGCCACATAAAAGTATCAAACCACCTGTTAAAATGCACCAGAATACAGGAAATCTATATTTTTTTTCGCCCCCACACCCCCCGTTAAAAATGTCCCCCCCACATTCAGGATGCTTCCTACGCCCATGATCATTAGCGATTATCAGACGCAGAGTTTGTATTCTAAACTCATCTAGTTGGCAAAGCTTTTTGGTAATTGGTCCAAATGTGGGGACAGCAAAGGATCAGACTATCAAAGCTCCCTGCAACACGTAGACCTGTAACAATACAAGTCGACTAAACTGGTCTGTGATTTGAATCGGTAAACAGTGTCCTTGTTTTATAAAAAATGCCCAGTACACACAATTGGAATCAGAAATTCACATATTAAAAACGTCAAATTTAAACTGGAACAGTATCCCCTTTTGCTTTTAAGCCAGGGAAAATGTGTACGTGCCTTTAACCCTTATGTTGTGTTTCAAGTTCAAATTATATAATAACTACGCACTAGTTTTTTTTATCGGAACAAGGCTTCATGATATCCTCCACAACAGCTATATAAACTCTACAAAACTGATTTTGACAATTTTAGCCAAGTCTGAAGGTCTCTAAAAAAAAAAGTGTATAATTTGGTGTTCGGGTCTGGGGAGACCCAGCAGAATTGTTTTTGGGTGACTCTGGGTCAAATTTGGCCCAATCAAGATTCATCTTTGACTTTAGACACCCCTCCCCCTTCATCCACTGTAACAATAATGTTAAGTCTATTAAGTCTATTATAGTCAGGTAACATCATTATCCACTGTCTTCACCATAAGGAATATAATGAGCGAATATAATCAAATGTTTTACTTAAATATGTGGTGTGATGTGTTTTGGGGCCATAAAATACAATTACAACAGGATTGTACGGTTATGAATGCATAATAAGTTAGTTATGATGTAGTTAAAACAATATTGGATGATAGTCATTATTTTGGAGTGTTTTGGACTGAGATACATCATGGGTCAAAATTGACACCATGAACAGTAACAGCTTTCGAACACAACACAAGGGTTAATAATGTCTAAACATGAGGAAGATAAAACCTAACCAAAAGAGCTGCAATAAGAGGCGGGGCAAAACTGGAAGGGCAACATATCATAATCCTTAAATCAAACTCAAGGCATGCAAGTTTTGCAGTAGTGTTTCAACAGTGGAGACAATTCTGTTTCTCTATAAATTAATATTAAACTCATACAGTCGTCAGCTCTTACTCAACTACACATCAGGGTCTCTGCTACAAGGGTGAGTAGAGCTGTCAATATTTAACTATAACTGTATTCTTTTGTTTGAAGACAATCTTGCTGCACCTTTTGTGCAATTGTTGCTGCATGTACTCAAAAGTATAACATTTAAAAACACGATTCGATTTGTATGGGATATGTCAGACATATTGGACCCAATCTCCTAAAGGTACAAATAATCTTCAGGACTCAGGGTGGGGTCTTCTCTATGGCAGCAGTTGGCATTTGAAGAATGTTGATGCTGGTAGATGTTGGACTGGCTGAGTGAGTTTCGGCCTGTTTAGCCGGGGAGCTGCGGGACAAACAGCCGTCAGCAGGAAGTCAAAGTGTTTCTGAGTGATCAATAATCAGATCTGATCTGTGAGATTTGTGAAATGCACACTCGATACAGCACAGCTTTGGCAAGGGAAACCATAGAGATCAGGCTCCTCCAACAATTCAACACAATATAGACTAGATACATCATAATATAATATAAAATAAAAGATTAATACAGGAAGTAAAGAGGTTCTGCTTTTAATATAAAAACCTAAAAATAGTGTTTACCAATTCTGCTAAAATATTATTATTATTATTAAATAATGATTACAAAAATGTAATAAAATATATTATTATTATTATAATACAATATTATATTACATTACATGTTACTTGTTAGATGCTTTTATCCAAAGCGACTTACATACTCAATACTGTGGACAATCCCCAAAGGAGCAATTTGGGGTGTACTTTCAATAAGCACACATTGCATTGGTTATGTATCATTAGCGATTATCAGACTCAGAGTTTGTATTCTAAACTCATCTAGTTGGCAAAGCTTTTTGGTAATTGGTCCAAATGTGAGGACAGCAAAGGATCAGACTATCAAAGCTCCCTGCAACACGTAGACCTGTAACAATACAAGTCGACTAAACTGGTCTGTGATTTGAATTGGTAAACAGTTTCCGGTAGCACTTTATATTAAGGTACACAAATTCACCATCAACTAGTTGTTCATAAACATGCATATTAGCAGTATATTGGCTGTTTATTAGTCATTATAAAACACTAATTAATGCATTTTTCTACATGACCATATTCTACAAGTAATAGGCCATTAGTTCAGAGTTTTTCCTCAACAACCCTCTAATTTGTGCTTATTTATTGCAAGTAAGGAAGTTGTTGTACATGAGTTTTGGTCTTAATATGCTCTGCTCAATATAGGCCTAATAAGGCAGCAGTACCACACGAATAGTAATTCTCCCATAATAACACTTAACAAATATGATCTGTTCTTATGTAACAAGACATGAAACTATAAGTGTTAATTAAGTCTAAATAACTCAAAATTAGGTATCCATTCTTTAGACTAAGGTTTTTTTGGATACTCGTCATTGTCCTTTTCGTTCACAACTTCTCCACATTTTGAAGTGTTTCCCGAGCCAGAACGACCTATCTTTCTTCCTGGCTTGCTCTATAATGATCCAAGACAAATGCAATACCAACAACAACTCAACAGCAACAACCCACACATTGCGCATTGTTTAGAGCGGTTATAAAGTATAAAACTGTTTCAACCTGTCACCTGTCAGAATCAAGACGAGGCAGTGCATTGAATCGCGTAATTGGGCCGCGAACCAGTCAAGTGATTCATTCAGGCAATGAAGCAGTTGCTGCTTCGGACGTCATACGTCACGTGATTTGAAGCAAGCTTCGAAGCACTGCTTCTATGGAATTGTAGTCCAGGGGTTTGAAGCACGTATCGAAGCTTCAGTCTCACACTGCCAGGACTAGTCTGGTCTCCTTTTATGACGTAGATGCTGCAGCTCTGATCTACTCCTTTACTGGCTGCTCCTTCACTGAGAAACTCTACCCATACTTCAACCCTGGTTTTTTTCATAGCAAAAACTCTGCACCTCTGATCATCTTGCCTGTCATAGTCAACTCATCTAATTTCATGTGTTGATTTATTATTCATTCAAGGGAACCTTTTTGTTCATTAAAAAACACAGTTGTTTGTATCTGGTCCAGCTGGCTTTGTGTTGCTTCCCTTTCCCGCATTGACATACACAAAATAAAACAAACTCACAAAACAACCTCATTGTTTGTTACCATTTTTTATTGTATTTTCCTAAAGAGGGTCGTCCTCTCTTTAAAATGAACAAAACATTTTGTTACTTTATTTTTAAAAGTGTTTCCAAGTGGAGACTGAACAGAAAGACGACTGATAACAAAAACAATAAATACTTTGTGGAGCAGAGAGAAGATTTCTGTAACTTTCTACCACTGATATTCTCATAGCAGTAATCAGTGTAAACCTGAAACATGATGTGAGCGACACCACCACCCAGTCCAGTTTATCATTAACCGTGGTGGAGTGGGGACGGGCGCTTTTAATTCTCTGGCAGTTATGATAAGGAAACTCTTCATACCCCAAAACGGGTAATTTAAGTAAAAAAAAAAAACAGACGCTACTGTCATGGTTAAAGCTGGAATAAAAAACTAATTCCCTAGAGGACACGTCGATGGGAAGTGATGGACGTCGGCCGGAGTGATGGAGGCCGAGGCGTTGGCAGGTCGTCATGAGAGGAGGGGTCCACATGAGGAAGAGGAGGAGAATGAAGATGATGAAGGGTTGTTTCCTTTCGATCCTCTCATTCTATATCGTCCTTGCTCAGACTCTGTGCACTCACGATACGCTGAAGGACAGGAAACAACAAGCGTTAACAGAGAGGAAGTAACCAATCAGGATGAAGATGGAGCGTCAGGGAAGTGTTTTTGTTTTATATTTTATGCAGATTTTTTAAATGTAATTAGTGGTGGAAGTATTCTTTTTAGGGGTTTTCCCTTTCCTGTAGTGTGTTCTATAGGTTTTAGTGCATGTAAATGGTCTTGTGAGGCTAAAATCCCAAAGTTTCCTCCATAGGGAGTTTCTCTCTCCTGTTCTCCATATTGGCTTTTTTATTTTTCCTAGTGTTATTTAAAACTGTCTGAATTTTAAAATGTTGTAATGCTTTGAGAACAGGAAGACTAATGGAGATCCAAAAACAGTGTTGGAGCCATTTATAATGTTGTAGTATTTAATAGTTAAACATATAAAATATCACATTTAATTTGTATTTAGTGTCATTTTAATTAATTAATTTAGAGTATTTGTTTATGTTTTCGTTTGAAGGTGGAAACGGGGGATTTGGTGTTTATTGGTAGACATGTGGAGAAATAGAATATATTTTTTTTACCAAGGCAAGAGAAGATTTAAGAACATTATTCCTTTTTCTTTTAATTGATGAAACCTAAGAAAATAAACTGCACAGCTCAAATTCTTGCCTGGACAAAGCACCTTATCCCAGCAGCAACATGTGATACCTGGTGCAACAGCAGCAGCTTGACTTTGTGTAAGAGTTGTGCTACCTGGCTGATGCTGGGCAGTTTGGTGAGCAGCATCTGGAAGACGGGTGGAGGCAGAGTCTGCTGCAACACCTGCAGCAGCTGCTGGGGCTGCCCACACACTGCGATGGCGTTGGTCAGGTGGTCCACGCCTTTCTCATAGTCTCCTGTGGAGAGGAGACAGAGGTGAGGGAAGTACTCACACACTTCACTTAATAAGCCAGCCGAAAAATAGTCATGCATTCAAAATGTTAATTAAGTAAAAGTAAAGAAGTATTATCAGCATAATGTTTTCCAAAGTTGTAGTTTGTCATTATGGAGCCATTATTTGGTACAGTACTGCATCATATGATGTAAGTTAATGTGTTTTTGTTATTTAAAGAGTAACACTTTGTCAAACAAAACTAGAAATACTAAAGTATCTCAACATTGTTATTAAAGGGGCCCTATCATGCTCATTTTCAGGTTCATATCAGTATGTAGTGTCTCTACTGTGACATGTCTCCATGCTTTAATGTTCAAAAAGCTCTTTATTTTTCTCATACTGCCTGTGCTGCAGCACATCTTTTCACCCTCTGTCTGAAACCAGAGCCCAGTCTGCTCTGGTTGGTTAGCTGGCCGGCTCTGTTGTGATTGGTCAAACGCTTAGAGATGTCCCGCCCCTTAGCCTTTCATGTACGATGTGTTGGAGCGCTAGCCAATAGCTGTGTGTAGGTGCGTGGAGGTGTGTGTGTAGGTGTGTGTGTGTGTGTGTAAGTGTGACCTAGCATTACTATCCTTGTGGGGACCTAGATCTGTTTACACAGTCAGGTGTGGGGACTTGCCTCCCTTATGGGGACATAAGGGGAATCAATAATTTTAGGGTGAAGACTTGGTTAGGGTTAGGGTAAGGGTTAAGCATGTGTTGGTTATGGTTAAGGTTAGGATAGGTCTCCAGGAAATGCATATAAGTCAATGTAATGTCCCCTGAAGTGATTGAAACATGGTGTGTGCGTGTGCGTGTGTGTGTGTGTGTGTGTGTGTGTGTGTGTGTGTGTGTGTGTGTGTGTGTGTGTGTGTGTGTGTGTGTGTGTGTTACCCTGAGCCAGCAGCTCCTCCCCCAGCTGGATCTCCTCCAGGAAGAACTTCTGCACCGCCTCAGCGTCCTTCAGGTCGGGGAGCTGCGGGACAAACAGCCGTCAATAACAGGAAGTCAAACTGTTTCTGAGTGATCAATAATCAGATCCGATCTGTGAGCCACTCGTACTTTTCAAGATGCAAACGCTTATTGTGAAATGCACACTCGATACAGCGCAGCTTTGGCAAGGGAAACCTTAGAGCACATGTGTCAAACTCAAGGCCCGGGGGCCAAATCAGGCCCTTGGTGGATTTAATTTCGGCCCACAGAATAATTTCTAATTACTATAAGATCTGGCCCGCCGGTATATTGTACGCACACCTTCACTCCATCCTGAGGGTCACCAAACATTGATGAACTTGCACCCAAGATGAGATGCCAAGTATCTGGCTTGAACTAGCATCACAGAGCAGCACACTGAGTTTCAATGGATGTTTCCTTCTGCACTTTGTTTCTTGAGACAACAGGACATGTTTGGTTTTTCTTTGAGGGAAATTGTTTTTCTGAAGCTGTTGTTGGCCTGTGGAGAAATGTAATCATAAGAAATGACTCTGGAAAAGCTGCAGATAGAGCCATAAGAAATGAATGCAACTAATTATTTAATGTTTCATGTTGTTTTTATAGGCAATCATTTAAGCTTTGTTAGTTCCAGGTTTAATATGTGCAATAAGTTCATTTCAATACGTTATGCAATAAAAATTGAACCAGTCCGGCCCTCGACTCGTACCCATTTTTTTATCTTGGCCCACTGTGTATTTGATTTTGACACCCCTGCCTTAGAGCCAAGGCTCCTTCAACAATTCAACACAATATAGACTAGATAAATCATAATATAATATAAAATAAAAGACTAATACAGGAAGTAAAGCTTTTAAAATAAAACCTAAAAATAGTGCTTACCAATTCTACTAAAATATTATTATTATTAGAATAATAATTAAATAATATATGTATTAAAATTAAAATAATAATAGAAATAATATTTTATTAAGAATCACTTTTATCTAATACTAATAACACTACTACTAATAATAATAATAATAATAATAATTAATGTTGTCACATAATCTGAATTATGGATTGTATTTTAATGGAATTCTTGAATTTATGGGTTTCAAAGAGAAAGAGAAAGAGAAAAACAACAACAACAACAATATGGTAAATAATATACAGAGATGTTTGCAGAGAGATTTCCTCAGGCAAAATGTTTTAAATATTTGAGAAACTAAGAAATATTTTTATATATTTCGCAACTTAACCATTTTCCTCTTACTATGAAGCACACTGTAAATGATTGACAGGAGATAAGAGGAAGCGTTACAACACGATAAGGACTGTTTGTGCTCACCTTTGCCATGCCCGCCCGGTCTGTGGCTACCTGCTGCTTTCTCCTTCCTGCGACAGAGACACAAAGAAATACAAATTAAAAACCAAGAAATGGATTTAACAACCACCTGTAAAACAGCAAGATTTTTATTTTGTTCATGGCTTTAACTGTTCCTTTAATATTTAAAGTAACCTTGATTTAAGTGGTTCAATCACTGGGAGATATCATTCTCTATTGTCTCATTTTTTACGGTGCATTGAGGACATTTAACATGTTATGTTTCAGCATTAGGCAACAATCTCATCAATCGAGACCCAATATCTCATGAGGAAAAAGTGAGAACAGGATAATATGATTGCTTTAATTCAGGCAACAAAATGCCATAATGATCCATAAGGGATGCTGCCTGAGAGAAAACACTCTTCTTCCTTGTTATCATGACCACTAATGTTACATATTCAATGTCTAAAAGGCCTTTGGTTTATTTGATTGTATATAGATTTCTGTTTTAGAGTGGATACATATTGTACTTGTTGTACATTTGATGAAGGTATTTTGCCTACATTACTAATCATAATAATAAAACATGTTCCCGAAGCTGCAGAGTTTGGGTTTAGGGATGGATAGGAGACCGGCTGAGGTCGATCTGAGGGACCGTTGGGGTTGGTAGTGGGTGAGGAGGTAGGGAGGGGGGGGGGGGGGGGGGCAGATGGTGGAGGGCTTTGTAAGTAAGGACCAGTCTTTTGTAGTTGATGCGGTGGGAGACAGTAAGCCAGCATAGTTCAAGTTCATTAAGTACTACAATGGAAATAAGTCTTTAACTATGTAGATTATATCATCCATGACATTTTACTGACATGTGTTTCCAATAAATGTAAATGAAAACGTTCATCATAATAAAGATTAGAAACAGCTTTTGACACACCTCACATCTGTAAAGCAGAACCTTTGCTCCCTAACTATCAGAGAAAACCTGGTATTTCTCAATACCCATGCAGATCAGAGGGAGGGAACCAAACCAGCAGGAGGAGCTACAGTGGAAAGAGGAGAGCTTACATGTCACAGGCAGCCACACTGCAGTCGAGACTAGTCTCTGTTTCTCTCAAAGAAAATACAAACTGAGTTCATCAGATCTTTATCAACAACACAGCAGAGTCTCTGTCAAACACTGGTGAGTACAACTGATTATATTTACACTTTCAACAAGCAGGATTAACACAAAACTTCAGCTCTACTCAGACGAAAACTCCACCCTTTACGTCCAACTTGTTAATAATATATATGATGTAAAGTCCACTTTAAAACAGCTTAAACGGTCTCTTAATACTTTAGTAACTTGAAACTGAATCTCTGTTGAATCTACATTTTGCTGATCACTTCCTACATAATGCTTTTAGCCATTTCCTCTAGCGGTTTCAAAATAAAATCTTTCCATTAGAGAAACAGTTGGAGGCTTTTGATGTGAAGCAGCTAGAGGAAATTAATCATTATGGTCACACAGTTAGAAGAGCAGTGTTATTTTCAATAAAAAAATGATCGACAAAACATGTATTTTCATTGCTGTTTTCCAAGTTGCATGCTTGACCCTGTCAGAGTTAAATGATCACGGTTGCAAGACAAAATTCAGAAAACTCTCATTCAAAAATACAAGTATAGTTATCAAACTTCTTTCTTTAAAACAATATATAATATTAATTGATGATTGATGTGTTTTCTTTACTTTCTCATGTGTGTAGATATGGCTGCTGCAAGCTACCTGCCATCTGAAGATCAGTTTCTCTGCTCCATCTGTCTGGATTTGTTCACTGATCCAGTCACTATACCATGTGGACACAACTTCTGTAAAGACTGCATCACTGAACACTGGGATACAAGTGACAGGTGCCAGTGTCCAATGTGTAAAGAGGCTTTTAATAAAATACCAGATTTGAGGGTCAACACTTTCATCTCTGAGATGGTCGCTCCGTTCAGACAGTCGGCTCAACAGAAAGCCAGCAGCAGCAGCAGCAGCAGCAGCTCAGAGCAACAAGTCTTCAAAGCAGGAGAAGTTTTCTGTGACGTCTGCACTGAAACCAAACTGAAGGCCCTGAAGTCCTGCCTGGTGTGTCTGACCTCCTACTGTGAGACTCACCTGGAGCCTCATCTGACAAAGTCAGGTCTGAAAAGACATCAGCTGATCGACCCTGTGGAGAACCTGGAAGACAGGATGTGTCCGAAGCACGATAAACCTCTGGAGCTGTTCTGTAAGACCGACCAGACATGTGTCTGTATGCTCTGCACTGTTTTAGACCACAAGACGCATGATGTGGTTCCTCTCAAACAAGAATATGAAGGGCAGAAGGCAGCACTGGGAAAGAAAGAGGCTAGAATTCAGGAAATGATCCAGAAGAGACAACTGAAGATTCAGGAGATCAAACACTCAGTGGACCTCAGTAAGAAAGAAGCAGACAGAGAAAAAGCAAAAGGTTTTCAGGTCTTCACTGCTCTGAAGGATTCTGTTGAGAGAAAACTGAATGAGTTCATCCAAACAATAGAAGGGAAGCAGAACATGAGAATGAAACGGGCTGAAGACTTCATCAAAGAGCTGGAACAGGAAATCTCTCAGCTGAAGAAGAGAAGTGCAAAAGTTGAACATCTCTCACGGTCTGAAGACCCCCTCCATCTTCTCCAGGGTGTCCAGTCCCTAAACATCCAACACCCATCACCCACTAAGGACTGGACAAAGGTCAGCATCCCTCTATCATCATATGAAGGAACTGTGGTGAGAGCTGTGGTTCAGCTGGAGCAGACACTCAGTAAAGAGATGAAGAAGCTGCTTGAAGCTGAGCTGAAGAGGGTCCAGAAGTACGCAGTGGATGTGACTCTTGATCCTAATACAGCACATCCTGATCTCAACCTTTCTGGTGATGGGAAACAAGTCCGGGATAGTGATGTTGAAAAGAATCTCCCAGACAACCCAGAGAGATTTTCTAAATGTACTTGTGTTTTAGGAAAGCAGAGTTTCTTTTCAGGCAGATTTTACTTTGAGGTTCAAGTTAAAGGAAAGACCGACTGGGATTTAGGAGTGGCCAGAGGGTCGATCAACAGGAAGGGAGGAATCTCACCGAGTCCTGAAGATGGTTTCTGGACGATATTGTTGAGAAATGGAAATGAGTACAGAGCTCTTGCTGGTCCGTCAGTCCTTCTTTCTCTGAAGTCTCGGCCTCAGAAGGTGGGGGTGTTTGTGGATTATGAGGAGGGTCTGGTCTCCTTTTATGACGTAGATCCTGCAGCTCTTATCTACTCCTTCACTGGCTGCTCCTTCACTGAGAAACTCTACCCATTCTTCCGCCCTGGTGTTAAATGTGGACGTAAAAACTCTGCACCTCTGATCATCTCACCTGTCAACTAATCACTCATCTTATTTAATGTGTTGATTTGTTTTCATTCATTCAACAAACATCGATATTTAGAGTCAAAACTGTATAGTTTCCATCTTATTTTCTACAAAATAAGTTTAATGTGGTGATTGATTTACATATGGTTTAGATTCTGTATACAGCACTTACGTGGATGATTTAATCTATTCAACAATCAAATCATGATCTCTTCAACACTTTATCGTAACACATATGGAGAATATCTATATGAACGTTGGATAAAGCTACAGATTTATTGTAACTTTAAAAAAAAAGAAGGTTGTTTCTAATGACACCAAATGTGTCAGTTAGAATTGATAACATTAAATGTTTTATAATCAATTGTTGTAAAGCTTCATTAAAGAGAAAGGCCTATTACGTGCCTCTACTGTATATGTGTATGTGTAATAGTTATACTGCTAGAAAAAGTTAAATGAAGTAAAATAATATGATAAATCCTCATTTGTGTTTAAAATGGTTTGGTTAATAACTGTTAACTTGTATATTTACATGCCAGGTTTTATATTGATTACTGGTAAAATGGCTTATGAACCAAAGACATCTGTAAATATGTGATTGTGAGTTAAGAAAACAGTAAACTAGATGTTTGGTCTGAGAAAGCAGGGACTCGAGCTCTAAACACTGAACAGGAAGGCCTGGTTTACACATCAGTTGTATTTCATGACACATTTCCTGTGGCTAATTCACAATTAAAAAATATATAAGTTGATTTATTTTTGTGTGAAGAGCTTGTAGGATGAAATGTTTGTTTCCACTATCAGTGATTGGATATTGGATATATATCTGTAAATATGTGATTGTGAGTTAAAAACATTCAAATAAACTGCATATTGAACACAAGGTTCTCAGTTTTAACTCATCATGCATACACGAAACCCTCCTTTTCTTATACTTTGAAAAAATGCCTTATCAAATTATTTCCCTCTCAGCACATTTTTATAATCACTGAATTAAACAAGAACTCAATGAGAAACGATTAAATATTTTGTCTTTCATCCAAGATAACGTTCTTGATAAGCACAATTTTAAATAAAAAATACAAATATAATATTTTCAAGGTCACTGGTCTTTGTTGTGTGTGTGAGTAATGTGTTCAGTGTTATTTCAGATGACAGGAAACAAGTCTTAAAAACACAATAGGAAAACTTGATGGGTTTCCGTATGCCAAGGATCAAAACCAATCTATGAATCAGGCAAGATTTTTAAAAAACATGGCAGATAGCCTTTTATTTTATTTTATATTGCAGTGGTTCAAAACTCAGTATATGTTAAGGTAAGCAGGATTACATGTTAGCTGATTTTAGATTCTAAACAACCATAACTGCTGTTTTATTTGTTGCTCAAAGTGATGCATGAAACAACTCCTCACATTTGTATAAGGCCTTTTGCGCCAGATTTAAAAATAGTCAATAAATAGTATTGCACAAATAGTACTGTTGTATTTAATGCAAGTTTAACAGGATAATACCATATAGACCTCAGCACTGAGTTCATTGTGTAGTTGTTGTTGTACTACACTACAGTAACACACTTCCACCACTTCCTGGTGTTCTGGCGCAGAGTGTCCACTGGATGGAGCACAACACAAAGGAGAGATAAGCATGGAGTCACTGAACTGTAAACCAAACACTGATATATGAGGAGACACAGTTTGTGACAAACATGTACAGGATAACCTCTCATGTTGACCAAGGACAAATGGGTTTTTCCCAATGGTGTTCAATGTAATAGTTCAACTTTGACCATGCTACCTGCATATGTCTTTGTCAAGAGATTTTAGTTGGAGGTAAAAAATAAGCCTGCTGTTACAACAGTTTACATTTTTCTAACAACCCTAAAAATGCTTAAAGGCATCCATCAATGATCCTAATTAACCAGGAGGATTTTTTTGGGCTAAGGGTAGTTAGTTATATGAAGTATTCTTACTCTTCTGCTTCTCATAGAGTGCCTACAGAGCTCAGTGATTCGCTTTAACAAAATAAACTCATCTGTAGGTACAGTAACATCTTCACCTCATGTAAAGTCAGGAAAACTCTGAAAGTTGAGAAACAAAATCCCTCTAAAAAGACTGCAGTAACAGGTAGTAGTTGAGAGGGATAAGACACATTGGTTTCTCTCAAAAGGAACCTAAAACTAACTGAGTTCATCAGGTTTTCTCTACAAAGACTCTGCTAAACACTATCTCTGCAGCTGATATTGTTACCAATGTTTTACAAAGCAACATCATATTTTGATTCTCCTCTGTCTGAATAAATAATATACTATAGCCTATGCATTTTGATTGATGCAGCCATCAGACAACTTTCCTCTGTGGAAACTCAGCCTCAGGGTGGGGCATTCACTTTGGCATCAGTTCACTGACATTTAACAACTGGTTTGTTTGGAGATGTCTGAACGATAAAGGAAGTGTTAGACCTGTATAGACTGCAAACAGTATTACAACATGTGTTTCGTCCTACTTTCAATAAGCACACATTGCATTGGTTATGTATCATTAGCGATTATCAGACTCAGAGTTTGTATTCTAAACTCATCTAGTTGGCAAAGCTTTTTGGTAATTGGTCCAAATGTGGGGACAGCAAATGACCAGACTATCAAAGCTCCCTGCAACACGTAGACCTGTAACAATACAAGTCCACTAAACTGGTCTGTGATTTGAATCGGTAAACAGTTTCCGGTAACACTTTATATTAAGGTACACAAATTCACCATCAACTAGTTGTTCATAAACATGCATATTAGCAGTATATTGGCTGTTTATTAGTCATTATAAAACACTAATTAATGCATTATTCTACATGACCATATTCTACAAGTAATAGGCCATTAGTTCAGAGTTTTTCCTCAATAACCCTCTAATTTGTGCTTATTTATTGCAAGTAAGGAAGTTGTTGTACATGAGTTTTGGTCTTAATATGCTCTGCTCAATATGGGCCTAATAAGGCAGCAGAACCACACGAATAGTAATTCTCCCATAATAACACTTAACAAATATGATCTGTTCTTATGTAACAAGACATGAAACTATAAGTGTTAATTAAGTCTAAATAACTCAAAATTAGGTATCCATTCTTTAGACTAAGGTTTTTTTGGATACTCGTCATTGTCCTTTTCGTTCACAACTTCTCCACATTTTGAAGTGTTTCCCGAGCCAGAACGACCTTTCTTTCTTCCTGGCTTTCTCTATAATGATCCAATACAAATGCAATACCAACAACAACTCAACAGCAACAACCCACACATTGCGCATTGTTTAGAGCGGTTATAAAGTGTAAAACTGTTTCAACCTGTCATCTGTCAGAATCAAGACGAGGCAGTGCATTGAATCGCGTAATTGGACCGCGAACCAGTCAAGTGATTCATTCAGGCAATGAAGCAGTTGCTGCTTCGGACGTCATGTCACGTGATTTGAAGCAAGCTTCGAAGCACTGCTTCTATGGAATTGTAGTCCAGGGGTTTGAAGCACGTATCGAAGCTTCAGTCTCACACTGCCAGGACTAGTCTGGTCTCCTTTTATGACGTAGATGCTGCAGCTCTGATCTACTCCTTTACTGGCTGCTCCTTCATTGAGAAACTCTACCCATACTTCAACCCTGGTTTTTTTCATAGCAAAAACTCTGCACCTCTGATCATCTTGCCTGTCATAGTCAACTCATCTAATTTCATGTGTTGATTTATTATTCATTCAAGGGAACCTTTTTGTTCATTAAAAAACACAGTTGTTTGTATCTGGTCCAGCTGGCTTTGTGTTGCTTCCCTTTCCCGCATTGACATACACAAAATAAAACAAACTCACAAAACAACCTCATTGTTTGTTACCATTTTTTATTGTATTTTCCTAAAGAGGGTCGTCCTCTCTTTAAAATGAACAAAACATTTTGTTACTTTATTTTTAAAAGTGTTTCCAAGTGGAGACTGAACAGAAAGACGACTGATAACAAAAACAATAAATACTTTGTGGAGCAGAGAGAAGATTTCTGTAACTTTCTACCACTGATATTCTCATAGCAGTAATCAGTGTAAACCTGAAACATGTTGTGAGCGACACCACCACCCAGTCCAGTTTATCATTAACCGTGGTGGAGTGGGGACGGGCGCTTTTAATTCTCTGGCAGTTATGATAAGGAAACTCTTCATACCCCAAAACGGGTAATTTAAGTAAAAAAAACAAACAGACGCTACTGTCATGGTTAAAGCTGGAATACAAAACTAATTCCCTAGAGGACACGTCGATGGGAAGTGATGGACGTCGGCCGGAGTGATGGAGGCCGAGGAAGGGTTGTTTCCTTTCGATCCTCTCATTCTATATCGTCCTCGCTCAGACTCTGTGCACTCACGATACGCTGAAGGACAGGAAACAACAAGCGTTAACAGAGAGGAAGTAACCAATCAGGATGAAGATGGAGCGTCAGGGAAGTGTTTTTGTTTTATATTTTATGCAGATTCTTTTTTTGAAGTTTAATTAGTGGCGGAAGTATTTCTCTCCTGTAGTGTGTTCTATAGGTTTTAGTGCATGTAAATGGTCTTGTGAGGCTAAAATCCCAAAGTTTCCTCCATAGGGAGTTTCTCTCTCCTGTTCTCCATATTGGCTTTTTTATTTTTCCTTGTGTTATTTAAAACTGTCTGAATTTAAAAATGTTGTAATGCTTTGAGAACAGGAAGACTAATGGAGATCCAAAAACAGTGTTGGAGCCATTTATAATTTTGTAGTATTTAATAGTTAAACATATAAAATATCACATTTAATTTGTATTTAGTGTCATTTAGAGTATTTGTTTATTTTTTCGTTTGAAGGTGGAAATGTGGGATTTGGTGTTTATTGGTAGACATGTGGAGAAATAGAATATATTTTTTTTACCAAGGCAAGAGAAGATTTAAGAACATTATTCCTTTTTCTTTTAATTGATGAAACCTAAGAAAATAAACTGCACAGCTCAAATTCTTGCCTGGACAAAGCACCTTATCCCAGCAGCAACATGTGATACCTGGTGCAACAGCAGCAGTTTGACTTTGTGTAAGAGTAGTGCTACCTGGCTGATGCTGGGCAGTTTGGTGAGCAGCATCTGGAAGACGGGTGGAGGCAGAGTCTGCTGCAACACCTGCAGCAGCTGCTGGGGCTGCCCACACACTGCGATGGCGTTGGTCAGGTGGTCCACGCCTTTCTCATAGTCTCCTGTGGAGAGGAGACAGAGGTGAGGGAAGTACTCACACACTTCACTTAATAAGCCAGCCGAAAAATAGTCATGCATTCAAAATGTTAATTAAGTAAAAGTAAAGAAGTATTATCAGCATAATGTTTTCCAAAGTTGTAGTTTGTCATTATGGAGCCATTACTTAGTACAGTACTGCATCATATGATGTAAGTTAATGTGTTTTTGTTATTTAAAGAGTAACACTTTGTCAAACAAAACTAGAAATACTAAAGTATCTCAACATTGTTATTAAAGGGGCCCTATCATGCTCATTTTCAGGTTCATATCAGTAAGTAGTGTCTCTACTGTGACATGTCTCCATGCTTTAATGTTCAAAAAGCTCTTTATTTTTCTCATACTGCCTGTGCTGCAGCACATCTTTTCACCCTCTGTCTGAAACCAGAGCCCAGTCTGCTCTGGTTGGTTAGCTGGCCGGCTCTGTTGTGATTGGTCAAACGCTTAGAGATGTCCCGCCCCTTAGCCTTTCATGTACGATGTGTTGGAGCGCTAGCCAATAGCTGTGTGTAGGTGCGTGGAGGTGTGTGTGTAGGTGTGTGTGTGTGTGTGTAAGTGTGACCTAGCATTACTATCCTTGTGGGGACCTAGATCTGTTTACACAGTCAGGTGTGGGGACTTGCCTCCCTTATGGGGACATAAGGGGAATCAATAATTTTAGGGTGAAGACTTGGTTAGGGTTAGGGTAAGGGTTAAGCATGTGTTGGTTATGGTTAAGGTTAGGATAGGTCTCCAGGAAATGCATATAAGTCAATGTAATGTCCCCTGAAGTGATTGAAACATGGTGTGTGCGTGTGCGTGCGTGTGTGTGTGTGTGTGTGTGTGTGTGTGTGTGTGTGTGTGTTTTACCCTGAGCCAGCAGCTCCTCCCCCAGCTGGATCTCCTCCAGGAAGAACTTCTGCACCGCCTCAGCGTCCTTCAGGTCGGGGAGCTGCGGGACAAACAGCCGTCAATAACAGGAAGTCAAAGTGTTTCTGAGTGATCAATAATCAGATCCGATCTGTGAGCCACTCGTACTTTTCAAGATGCAAACGCTTATTGTGAAATGCACACTCGATACAGCGCAGCTTTGGCAAGGGAAACCTTAGAGCACATGTGTCAAACTCAAGGCCCGGGGGCCAAATCAGGCCCTTGGTGGATTTAATTTCGGCCCACAGAATAATTTCTAATTACTATAAGATCTGGCCCGCCGGTATATTGTACGCACACCTTCACTCCATCCTGAGGGTCACCAAACATTGATGAACTTGCACCCAAGATGAGATGCCAAGTATCTGGCTTGAACTAGCATCACAGAGCAGCACACTGAGTTTCAATGGATGTTTCCTTCTGCACTTTGTTTCTTGAGACAACAGGACATGTTTGGTTTTTCTTTGAGGGAAATTGTTTTTCTGAAGCTGTTGTTGGCCTGTGGAAAAATGTAATCATAAGAAATGACTCTGGAAAAGCTGCAGATAGAGCCATAAGAAATGAATGCAACTAATTATTTAATGTTTCATGTTGTTTTTATAGGCAATCATTTAAGCTTTGTTAGTTCCAGGTTTAATATGTGCAATAAGTTCATTTCAATACGTTATGCAATAAAAATTGAACCAGTCCGGCCCTCGACTCGTACCCATTTTTTTTATCTTGGCCCACTGTGTATTTGATTTTGACACCCCTGCCTTAGAGCCAAGGCTCCTTCAACAATTCAACACAATATAGACTAGATAAATCATAATATAATATAAAATAAGACTAATACAGGAAGTAAAGCTTTTAAAATAAAACCTAAAAATAGTGCTTACCAATTCTACTAAAATATTATTATTATTAGAATAATAATTAAATAATATATGTATTAAAATTAAAATAATAATAATAATAACACTACTACTAATAATAATAATAATAATAATAATTAATGTTGTCACATAATCTGAATTATGGATTGTATTTTAATGGAATTCTTGAATTTATGGGTTTCAAAGAGAAAGAGAAAGAGAAAAACAACAACAACAACAATATGGTAAATAATATACAGAGATGTTTGCAGAGAGATTTCCTCAGGCAAAATGTTTTAAATATTTGAGAAACTAAGAAATATTTTTATATATTTCGCAACTTAACCATTTTCCTCTTACTATGAAGCACACTGTAAATGATTGACAGGAGATAAGAGGAAGCGTTACAACACGATAAGGACTGTTTGTGCTCACCTTTGCCATGCCCGCCCGGTCTGTGGCTACCTGCTGCTTTCTCCTTCCTGCGACAGAGACACAAAGAAATACAAATTAAAAACCAAGAAATGGATTTAACAACCACCTGTAAAACAGCAAGATTTTTATTTTGTTCATGGCTTTAACTGTTCCTTTAATATTTAAAGTAACCTTGATTTAAGTGGTTCAATCACTGGGAGATATCATTCTCTATTGTCTCATTTTTTACGGTGCATTGAGGACATTTAACATGTTATGTTTCAGCATTAGGCAACAATCTCATCAATCGAGACCCAATATCTCATGAGGAAAAAGTGAGAACAGGATAATATGATTGCTTTAATTCAGGCAACAAAATGCCATAATGATCCATAAGGGATGCTGCCTGAGAGAAAACACTCTTCTTCCTTGTTATCATGACCACTAATGTTACATATTCAATGTCTAAAAGGCCTTTGGTTTATTTGATTGTATATAGATTTCTGTTTTAGAGTGGATACATATTGTACTTGTTGTACATTTGATGAAGGTATTTTGCCTACATTACTAATCATAATAATAAAACATGTTCCCGAAGCTGCAGAGTTTGGGTTTAGGGATGGATAGGAGACCGGCTGAGGTCGATCTGAGGGACCGTTGGGGTTGGTAGTGGGTGAGGAGGTAGGGAGGGGGGGGGGGGGGGGGGGGGCAGATGGTGGAGGGCTTTGTAAGTAAGGACCAGTCTTTTGTAGTTGATGCGGTGGGAGACAGTAAGCCAGCATAGTTCAAGTTCATTAAGTACTACAATGGAAATAAGTCTTTAACTATGTAGATTATATCATCCATGACATTTTACTGACATGTGTTTCCAATAAATGTAAATGAAAACGTTCATCATAATAAAGATTAGAAACAGCTTTTGACACACCTCACATCTGTAAAGCAGAACCTTTGCTCCCTAACTATCAGAGAAAACCTGGTATTTCTCAATGCCCATGCAGATCAGAGGGAGGGAACCAAACCAGCAGGAGGAGCTACAGTGGAAAGAGGAGAGCTTACATGTCACAGGCAGCCACACTGCAGTCGAGACTAGTCTCTGTTTCTCTCAAAGAAAATACAAACTGAGTTCATCAGATCTTTATCAACAACACAGCAGAGTCTCTGTCAAACACTGGTGAGTACAACTGATTATATTTACACTTTCAACAAGCAGGATTAACACAAAACTTCAGCTCTACTCAGACGAAAACTCCACCCTTTACGTTCAACTTGTTAATAATATATATGATGTAAAGTCCACTTTAAACAGCTTAAACGGTCTCTTAATACTTTAGTAACTTGAAACTGAATCTCTGTTGAATCTACATTTTGCTGATCACTTCCTACATAAAGCTTTTACCCATTTCCTCTAGCGGTTTCAAAATAAAATCTTTCCATTAGAGAAACAGTTGGAGGCTTTTGATGTGAAGCAGCTAGAGGAAATTAATCATTATGGTCACACAGTTAGAAGAGCAGTGTTATTTTCAATAAAAAAATGATCGACAAAACATGTATTTTCATTGCTGTGTTCCAAGTTGCATGCTTGACCCTGTCAGAGTTAAATGATCACGGTTGCAAGACAAAATTCAGAAAACTCTCATTCAAAAATACAAGTATAGTTATCAAACTTCTTTCTTTAAAACAATATATAATATTAATTGATGATTGATGTGTTTTCTTTACTTTCTCATGTGTGTAGATATGGCTGCTGCAAGCTACCTGCCATCTGAAGATCAGTTTCTCTGCTCCATCTGTCTGGATTTGTTCACTGATCCAGTCACTATACCATGTGGACACAACTTCTGTAAAGACTGCATCACTGAACACTGGGATACAAGTGACAGGTGCCAGTGTCCAATGTGTAAAGAGGCTTTTAATAAAATACCAGATTTGAGGGTCAACACTTTCATCTCTGAGATGGTCGCTCCGTTCAGACAGTCGGCTCAACAGAAAGCCAGCAGCAGCAGCAGCAGCAGCAGCTCAGAGCAACAAGTCTTCAAAGCAGGAGAAGTTTTCTGTGACGTCTGCACTGAAACCAAACTGAAGGCCCTGAAGTCCTGCCTGGTGTGTCTGACCTCCTACTGTGAGACTCACCTGGAGCCTCATCTGACAAAGTCAGGTCTGAAAAGACATCAGCTGATCGACCCTGTGGAGAACCTGGAAGACAGGATGTGTCCAAAGCACGATAAACCTCTGGAGCTGTTCTGTAAGACCGACCAGACATGTGTCTGTATGCTCTGCACTGTTTTAGACCACAAGACGCATGATGTGGTTCCTCTCAAACAAGAATATGAAGGGCAGAAGGCAGCACTGGGAAAGAAAGAGGCTAGAATTCAGGAAATGATCCAGAAGAGACAACTGAAGATTCAGGAGATCAAACACTCAGTGGACCTCAGTAAGAAAGAAGCAGACAGAGAAAAAGCAAAAGGTTTTCAGGTCTTCACTGCTCTGAAGGAGTCTGTTGAGAGAAAACTGAATGAGTTCATCCAAACAATAGAAGGGAAGCAGAACATGATAATGAAACGGGCTGAAGACTTCATCAAAGAGCTGGAACAGGAAATCTCTCAGCTGAAGAAGAGAAGTGCAAAAGTTGAACATCTCTCACGGTCTGAAGACCCCCTCCATCTTCTCCAGGGTGTCCAGTCCCTAAACATCCAACACCCATCACCCACTAAGGACTGGACAAAGGTCAGCATCCCTCTATCATCATATGAAGGAACTGTGGTGAGAGCTGTGGTTCAGCTGGAGCAGACACTCAGCCAAGAGATGAAGAAGCTGCTTGAAGCTGAGCTGAAGAGGGTCCAGAAGTACGCAGTGGATGTGACTCTTGATCCTAATACAGCACATCCTGATCTCAACCTTTCTGGTGATGGGAAACAAGTCCGGGATAGTGATGTTGAAAAGAATCTCCCAGACAACCCAGAGAGATTTTCTAAATGTACTTGTGTTTTAGGAAAGCAGAGTTTCTTTTCAGGCAGATTTTACTTTGAGGTTCAAGTTAAAGGAAAGACCGACTGGGATTTAGGAGTGGCCAGAGGGTCGATCAACAGGAAGGGAGGAATCTCACCGAGTCCTGAAGATGGTTTCTGGACGATATTGTTGAGAAATGGAAATGAGTACAAAGCTCTTGCTGGTCCGTCAGTCCTTCTCTCTCTGAAGTCTCGGCCTCAGAAGGTGGGGGTGTTTGTGGATTATGAGGAGGGTCTGGTCTCCTTTTATGACGTAGATCCTGCAGCTCTTATCTACTCCTTCACTGGCTGCTCCTTCACTGAGAAACTCTACCCATTCTTCCGCCCTGGTGTTAAATGTGGACGTAAAAACTCTGCACCTCTGATCATCTCACCTGTCAACTAATCACTCATCTTATTTAATGTGTTGATTTGTTTTCATTCATTCAACAAACATCGATATTTAGAGTCAAAACTGTATAGTTTCCATCTTATTTTCTACAAAATAAGTTTAATGTGGTGATTGATTTACATATGGTTTAGATTCTGTATACAGCACTTACGTGGATGATTTAATCTATTCAACAATCAAATCATGATCTCTTCAACACTTTATTGTAACACATGTGGAGAATATCTATATGAACGTTGGATAAAGCTACAGATTTATTGTAACTTTAAAAAAAAAGAAGGTTGTTTCTAATGACACCAAATTTGTCAGTTAGAATTGATAACATTAAATGTTTTATAATCAATTGTTGTAAAGCTTCATTAAAGAGAAAGGCCTATTACGTGCCTCTACTGTATATGTGTATGTGTAATAGTTATACTGCTAGAAAAAGTTAAATGAAGTAAAATAATATGATAAATCCTCATTTGTGTTTAAAATGGTTTGGTTAATAACTGTTAACTTGTATATTTACATGCCAGGTTTTATATTGATTACTGGTAAAATGGCTTATGAATCAAAGACATCTGTAAATATGTGATTGTGAGTTAAGAAAACAGTAAACTATGTTTTGTCTGAGAAAGCAGGGACTTGAGCTCTAAACACTGAACAGGAAGGCCTGGCTTACACATCAGTTGTATTTCATGACACATTTCCTGTGGCTAATTCACAATTAAAAAAATATAAGTTGATTTATTTTTGTGTGAAGAGCTTGTAGGATGAAATGTTTGTTTCCACTATCAGTGATTGGATATTGGATATATATCTGTAAATATGTGATTGTGAGTTAAAAACATTAAAATAAACTGCATATTGAACACAAGGTCTGAAGTTTTAACTCATCATGCATACACGAAACCCTCCTTTTCTTATACTTTGAAAAAATGCCTTATCAAATTATTTCCCTCTCAGCACATTTTTATAATCACTGAATTAAACAAGAACTCAATGAGAAACGATTAAATATGTTGTCTTTCATCCAAGATAACGTTCTTGATAAGCACAATTTTAAATAAAAAATACAAATATAACAATTTCAAGGTCACTGGTCTTTGTTGTTTGTGTGAGTAATGTGTTCAGTGTTATTTCAGATGACAGGAAACAAGTCTTAAAAACACAAAAGGAAAACTTGATGGGTTTCCGTATGCCAAGGATCAAAACCAATCTATGAATCAGGCAAGATTTAAAAAAAACATGGCAAATAGCCTTTTATTTTATTTTATATTGCAGTGGTTCAAAACTCAGTATATGTTAAGGTAAGCAGGATTACATGTTAGCTAATTTTAGATTCTAAACAACCATAACTGCTGTTTTATTTGTTGCTCAAAGTGATGCATGAAAAATCTCCTCACATTTTTATAAGGCCTTTTGAGCCAGATTTAAAAATAGTCAATAAATGGTATTGCAAAAATAGTACTGTGGTATTTAATGCAAGTTTAACAGGATAATACCATACAGACCTCAGCACTGAGTTCATTGTGTAGTTGTTGTTGTACTACACTACAGTAACACACTTCCACCACTTCCTGGTGTTCTGGCACAGAGTGTCCACTGGATGGAGCACAACACAAAGGAGAGATAAGCATGGAGTCACTGTACTGTAAACCAAACACTGATATATGAGGAGACACAGTTTGTGACAAACATGTACAGGATAACCTCTCATGTTGACCAAGGACAAATGGGTTTTTCCAATGGTGGTCGATGTAATAGTTCAACTATGACCATGCTACCTGCATATGTCTTTGTCAAGAGATTTTAGTTGGAGGTAAAAAATAAGCCTGATGTTACAACAGTTTACATTTTTCTAACCCTAAAAATGCTTAAAGGCATCCATAAGTGATCCTAATTAACCAGGAGGATTTTTTTTGGGCTAAGGGTAGTTAGTGATATAAAGTATTCTTACTCTTCTGCTTGTCATAGAGTGCCTACAGAGCTCAGTGATTCGCTTTAACAAAATAAACTCATCTATAGGTACAGTAACATCTTCACCTCAAGTAAAGTCAGGAAAACTCTGAAAGTTGAGAATCAAAATCCGTCTAAAAAGACTGCAGTAACAGGTAGTAGTTGAGAGGGATAAGACACATTGGTTTCTCTCAAAAGGAACCTAAAACTAACTGAGATCATCAGGTTTTCTCTACAGAGACTCTGCTAAACACTATCTCTGCAGCTGATATTGTTAACAATGTTTTACAAAGCAACATAATATTTCGATTCTCCTCTGTCTGAATAAAGAATATACTATAGCCTATGCATTTTGATTGATGCAGCCATCAGACAACTTTCCTCTGTGGAAACTCAGCCTCAGGGTGGGGCATTCACTTTGGCATCAGTTCACTGACATTTAACAACTGGTTTGATAAACGATAACGATAAAGGAAGTTTTAGACCTGTATAGACTGCAAACAGTATTACAACATGTTTTTCGTCCTGCTTTCAATAAGCACACATTGCATTGGTTATGTATCTTTAGCGATTATCAGACTCAGAGTTTGTATTCTAAACTCATCTAGTTGGCAAAGCTTTTTGGTAATTGGTCCAGATGTGGGGACAGCAAATGACCAGACTATCAAAGCTCCCTGCAACACGTAGACCTGTAACATTAATACAAGTCGACTAAACTGGTCTGTGATTTGAATCGGTAAACAGTTTCCGGTAACACTTTATATTAAGGTACACAAATACACCATCAACTAGTTGTTAATTAACATGCATATATGCAGTATATTGGCTCTTTATTAGTCATTATAAAACACTAATTAATGCATTATTCTACATGACCATATTCTACAAGTAATAGGCCATTAGTTCAGAGTTTTTCCTCAACAACCCTCTAATTAGTGCTTATTTATTGCAAGTAAGGAAGTTGTTGTACACGAGTTTTGGTCTCAATATGCTCTGCTCAATATGGGCCTAATAAGGCAGTAGTACCACACGAATAGTAATTCTCCCATAATAACACTTAACA